TGATAAGTCGGCCTGTTTCGAGGCCAACCGGGGAGTCAGATTCAGATGATCCATAATTGTTGATTTATTCAGGCAGACTATTTTCCTTGTCAGCCTTGAGTCTTACTGGAACTTCCAAGATCTGAAATGACCAGATTAGGGTGCATTCTACTGGTCCGTGCTTACGAGCCTCTTCAAGGTTGTTTTCATGCTGACGAGTCCCAAAGCCGCAGGTGGCCTGTGATTCAAATCACTTCCACCTTACGGTTTCGCTTGTAAATCAGTTGATTTTGAGTCCTCAAAGCACAAACGAAACCTTCACATAGGCAGCAGCCTGACGAGGCCAGATTAGCTGCCGCCATCTTCTTTGTATGTTGATAAACCAGGATCCAGACTATTCCATAAACAGGAAACCTGTTATCATAAATCCAATTATATACAATTTTGGTGTTCTCGATCGACAGCAGAGGTAGACACATCATATTCCACTTCCTCCAGAAATATATCCAGCTGCATGCGTGTCGTCCGAGCAGATGAGGGTTCTCCAGGACCCTGTCGCTTTGTTGAAAATATTTTGTCATTTGCGTCAAAAGTCCAGTTGGTCAGATCCAAAACAGTAGTTTTCATTTCGGAAGATGTGTAAAAATAGGAGCTGCTCCAATCCACAGACAGAGAGCAAAAAAGCAGGAGGAGAACAGGGAGAGGGAGGAAAAGCGTGCGCCTCGTTACAGAGCCAGTGAGAAAAAACTTTACTGGCTTTGTATGTAAAGTCCAGGATAAATCCTCAGTAATGTGAACGCCGAGGAACTTGAAGCTGCTGACCTGCTCCACCTCAGCGTTGTTTACGTTGATGTTGGAGTGCTGGCCTCCACGCTGTTTCCTGAAGTCCACTATCATCTCCTTTGTTTTGCTGACATTTAGAGAGAGGTTATTTTCCAGACACCAGCTAGTCAGTGATTTCACCTCGTCTCTGTAGGCACTCTCATTGTTGGTAATGAGGCGCAGGATGGTGATGTCATCAGCGTACTTGAGCTGTGCTTGGCGGTACAGTCATGTGTAAATAGTGAGTACAGGTACTTAGTCACATAAATGTTTGTTTTACTTCTAATGCATACTGTTTGATAGTAATCTTTTTTTAATTGTATTAAGCTGAAATTGGTCCCACTT